TTTTTTTATATTGATCTTGAGTTATGCAATCTTGCTGAACATGTTTATTTGTTCTAATAGTTTTTAGTGGATTTAGAATTTTCTTATATATAAGATTATGGCATCTATAAATAATAGTTTTTACTTCTTCCTTTCCAATCTAGACATTCTGTATTTCTTTTTCTTGCCTGTTTGCTCTATCTGGAACATTCTGTGCTATGATGAATAGAAATGACAAGCGTGGACATCTTAGCTCTTTCCTGATCTTGCCAGGAAAACATTCAGTCTATCATTAAATATGATGTTAGCTGTGAATTATTCTTTTCTTTTCTTTTCTTTTTTTTTTTTAGATTTTATTTATTTATTTGAGAGCTAGAGTTACAGAAATTGAGAGGGAGAGACGCAGAGAAAGGTCTTCCATCCAATGGTTCACTCCCCAAATGGCTGCAGTGGCTGGAGCTGCACCAATCCGAAGCCTGGAGCCAGGTGCCTCTTCCCAGTCTCCCACACAGGTGCAGGGGCCCAAGGACCTGGGCCATCTTCTACTGCTTTCCCAGGAGATAGCAGAGAGCTGGATTGGAAGTTGAGCAGCCGAGACTAGAACCGGTGCCCATATGGGATGCCAGTGCTGCAGGCGGAGGATTAACGTACTGCGCCATGGCACCAGCCGCTGCGAAGTTTTCATAGATGTCCTTTGGCCTTTTGAGGAAGTTCCCTCCTCCTAGTTTTATTGTGGAATGTCGTTGAATTTTTGCCAAAGACCTTTTGTATGCCTGTTGAGATGATTGTGTGGGATTTTTGTCCTCTACTTTATTGCTGTATTATCCCATTGATCCTATGTGATTTTTGAGGATAAGATTTATTTGTTTTTATATATTTATTTTTATATTTATATTAATATATTTATTTTTATATGTTTCTTATTTATTTGAAAAGGCAGAGTTGCAGAGAGAGAGAGAGAGTATGTGAGATAGATCTTCCATCCTCTGGTTTACCCGCCAAATGGCCACAAGGGCTGGGGCTAGGCCAGGCCAAAGCCAGGAGCCAGGAGTCAGGAGCTTTATCTCCCATGTGGTTGCAAGGACCCAAGTATGTTGGCCATCTTTTGCTGCCTTCCCAGGCTAATTGGCAATGAGCTGGATCAGAAGAAGAGCAGCCGGGACACGAATCTACAGCGCCTTTATGGGATCCTCAGCATTGCAGGTGGTGGCTGAACCCATTATGTCACAACAGCAGCCCCTCATTTTTATTTCTTATTTTTTCTGAATTCTAGACTCATATAGCTGTGGGTTCTAAAATGCTTTTTTTTCTGATAATTTTACGGACAAAGACATTTGTAAGGAGGCTGTCTCAAAATTACAGCTAGAATTAGAATATGAAATTCCATTTTTTGTTTATCTTGTTGGGCCATGTTGTTCATTATTAAAACTAATACTTATTGTAATATGCTAAATTAACATGAAAAATAAGGGTAGGATTTTTTTTAGTTCACAATTTAATTGATACACAATTGGGTGCAGTATAGTAATTTTACACTTGCCTATAATTTATACTGTTCAAATCAGGATACTTAGCATTTCTGTTTCCTTAACCATTTGTTATTTCCTTTTTTTGGAAAATCCTTTCTTCTATTTCTTAAAAAATATATATAATAAATTGGGCAAGCATTGTGGCATAGTGGGTAAAGCAGCAGAGGATGGCCCAAGCACTTGGGCCTCTGCTACTCATGTAGGAGACCCTGTAGAAGCTCTTGGCTCCTAGCTTTGGGCTGGACAAACCTCGGCCATTGTGGCCATTTGGGGAGTAAACCAGTGGATGGAAGATTCATTCTCTCTCACTCTCTTTCTCTCTCTCTCTCTCTCTGTGTCTCTCTAACTCTGCCTTTCAAATAAATAAAATAAATCTTTAAAAAAATATAATAAATTATTGTGAGCTATGGTCATCCTACTGTGTTTTAGAGCACTAGAAATTATCCTCCTAGATACTATTTTTCATTGGCATATTGTCTACCATCTAGCTAGTTTATAATGTTTATGGGGCCGGCGTCGTGGCTCACCTGGTTATTCCTCTGCCTGTGGCACTGCCATCCCATATGGGCTCTGGTTCTAGTCTTGATTGCTCCTCTTCCAGTCCAGCTCTCTGCTGTGGCCCAGGAAGGCAGTGGAGGATGGCCCAAGTGCTTGGGCCCTGCACCCATGTGGGAGACCAGGAGGAAGCACCTGGCTCCTGGCTTCGGATCGGCATGGTGCTGGCCCTAACGGCCATTTGGGGAGTGAAGCAATAGAAGGAAGACCTTTCTCTCTGTCTCTCTCACTTTCAGTAACTCTACCTGTCAAATAAAAAAAAATGTTAAAAAAAATAAAATTTTTGTTAACCTCCATGTAATTGCCTTCCTGGGTATGTATATAGACACTTTTTATTCTCTGTAACATCCATAGCAAACTGAAGTTTCAAGACCTTCCTCAAATGCTTAAATTAGTAGAGGAGGTTGCTTATTCTTTGTTATCCAGAATCAAATTTACATATTCCCAAATATGTTCCTATTATATTTGATAGCTTAATCAAATAATTTATCTTGATATTATTTATACTGATGTAATAGGAGTACAAAAGGAGAGGATTTTTTTTAATGGAAATCTAAGATGAATACTTGGAAAGACTTCCTGAAGGTCAGTCTGTTAATAATTTCCCATATTATTTAGTGTGAATGAGATAAAACTGTACAGGATGGGAAAACATAATAAGACTCCATGTGAATATTATACTCATATTGCATTGCCAGTATCTTTAAAATTCTATTTAAAAATTAATCTGGATAGTTGTGGCCATGTTTTATTAAGGAAAAGCAATTCTGAACGCCAGTTAGTAGACTCACATTCAAAGAAAATGCCTTAGTCTAATGTCTGAAGATTAGCAAAGTTATCTATGTTTTGTGATAAAATTATATGTAAGTAAAGTTTAATTTTTATGATTCTCCATGGTAGCTCACACTTTAAAATTAACCTTAGTTGTTGATACTCATATGGCAAGATGAAATAAATTTTATTTACTTTATTCATGTAACATGGGAATTGTAATTTATGCCAGAAAGAATAATTTAGCTGAAAAGATTAGAATTACACTTAATTTTAGGATAACATAAAATAGAAGAAAAAAAATCCATGCAAATAAATGTCACCTATTTTTCTAGAAACCAAAGAAAATAATACATTGAAAATGAGAACTTATGCACAATTATTGTTCATTGAGAAAACCCAAAGGGGCACAGCAGTTTAAGATGCTGCTTCCCATACTGCAATGCAGGTGTTCAGTCTGTGTCAGCTGTGCTTCCAATTGTAGATTCTTGCTAATGCACACCCTGAGAGGCAATAAATGGGTGATGGCTCAAGTGCTTGGGTCCTTGCCACCTTTGTGAAAAACAGATTGAGTCCCAGGACCCTGGTTTGGCCTGGCCCAGCCCTCACTATTGCAGATATTGGGGAGTGAACCAGCAAATAGACTGTTTGTCTCCCTCTCTCCTTGTCTTTCAACCACAATGAAAATAAATAAATAAATAAGCTCTTAAAAAAAAAAAAAGAATCCCATGGCATGTCTTAAAATACAGAAATTATTTGTATGTCTGAAAATGAGTTTGTATACAGATAACTATAATTTTGTTAAATCCCATCAAATTTTACTTTTTTCACTTTTATAAATATTTACTAATTAGTGAAAATTAGAATATCAGCATGTTAAAATGGCTACACTATTTCAGGTTTATGAAAGTAAAATGCATATAATGGTGCCTGGAACATAGTGAATTCTAAGTATATGGGTATTTGGTTCTGTTTTCTTCTTCACTCATTCTACCTTACTAAGAGTATAGACTCTGGAGCCAGACTATTCATTCAGATCCTATCTTTGTTATTTCCTAGTTATCTGACTAGGGGCAAATTATTTAATTTTTCAGTACTTACCTTGCGTATACGTTTAAATGGAGGCCAAGAACTGCTTGAGATGCCTGCATCCCATATTGGAATTCTTGGTTTTAGTCCTGACTCCACTTTTGATCCAACTTCCTGTTAGTGCACACTCTGGGAGGCAGCAAGTGATGGCTCATTGGAGAATTATGTGGAGTTCTGGGCCCTTGGCTTCAGTCTTCTCCAGTCACGGCTGTTCGGGGTATTTTAGGAGTGAACAGGTAGATGGAAGATCTTTCTATCTGTGTGTGTGTGTGTGTGTGTGTGCACACGTGTCTGCTTTTCAAATAAAAATGAAAAAAAAAAAAAAAGGTTTAAAGACTGGAAAAAGTAACCTGATTTGTTTTTAAAACTGGGGACAATAACACATTCTTCATGGGTTATGGAGCAGTATCTTAATATAGATAACATGTTTATAATAATATTTGATATAGGAAATATGTAAGTTTTTGCTATTATGCTTATCATCTTCATGTTGATTCATATCCATGCTCATTGTAAAAGGCCAATATATTTATTAGAGATGCAATATCATGCTGTGCTTAGAAGTATAGTTATGTAGTTCTTCATTATATTTTTATCCCAATTAAAAACAGCACTACAGGAATGAAAATCGTAGTAAAAAGGTTATTGTTTCTAAAAACAATATTCTGAAATGGCATTGGTCTTCTTTTCAGATATTTGCTGACCTGGGCCAAATTGTATGTTCTATATTCCTTTTCTCCTCTTACTATTACGCTAACAGGAAAAGTACAGTTTGGGTCAGAATAAAGTATATTAGCTTTATATTATGTTGTTTCTATATATTTGATTTTTTAAAAATTTTTTCCCTGAGGAACAGTTTTCTTATTTCTTTTAGACTTTAATATCTGAGGCTTCTGATTATCAGTAGAAACTGATTAGAGTGATATGTAATAAACCTAACTCTTAATTTCAATCTCTGTGAACTGTATTGAATATTAGGTCACTGGAATATTATTAGCCTATTAAATAACCAACTAACCAATTTCTTAAGGAAAAACTCCACACATATTATAAACTCCTTAATGGAATTAATGACAGTTTTGGTCGTCCAGGAGTAGAATGCTATTGCCAGCATGACAGTGGGGCTGCAGTAATCCAACTCCAGTTCCTGATTAATGAGGTTAGTGAATTGTTTTCTTTCTTTTACTTATGTCTGAATTCTTGCATTCATTTATGTTTAAATATTTGAACAGAAAGTAAATTCTTACAGACTAGAGTAAATGCATTTTAAGGCGCCATCATTGACAGTTACATAAATAATGTAAGATGTTTTCTCAAAATAATGTTGCAGATAGAATGATGTAATTATTTTTGGAACAAGATGCCGCATTTCATTTTTATTTCAGAGATGTTGAAAGTTATATAATATGTAAAAAATCCATATTAAACATTTTTTAAGATTGAGTTTATCATAAATAATAGAATGTAGTTCTTTAATGAGTTGCATTGAAATACATCCAGGAAACCAACATAATTAGAAAGTGGTTACTGCCCGAAGTTTGTGGAAGTAGTTGGTGATACCTTGCTTTTTGATAAGAGTATGCAGTAAGGAAAGAACTAGAGAAAATATCATTTTGTCAGCCCAGGAAACACTGCACTTGCAGAATTTAAAAAAGTATGTTCGGGGCCAGTGCTGTGGCGCAGCAGGTTAACACCCTGGTGAGGCGCCAGCATCCCATGTGGGTGCCGGTTCTGATCCCAGCTGCTCCACTTCTGATCCAGCTCTCTGCTATGGCATGGGAAAGAAGTGGAAAATGGCCCAGGTCCTTATACCCACTGGGGCTAGCGCTCAGGCACTGATTGCCATTGAGGAGAATGGCTCAGCTGAGCGGAATTATTTCCCTTCTGAATAAAAAAAATGAGAGAGAGATAAGATTTACCATGCCAAACCTGGGTGTGTCACCTTTGGCATACCTTTAACCTTGAAGAACTGAACAGAGCTCTCTGGCCACACCTACCACAAGCCTCTAGAGGTTCACCAAAAGCAGACAGTCCACTTAATCTAAAGTCATAGTGTAATGAGAAAAGCCACCACAGCGGGGGGGGGGGGGGGGAGCCAAAGAAGATATACACAATGCAGAGCAACGCAGACACCGAGGAAACAAGAACAAGGAAGACATCATGATGCTCCCAAATGAACATCACACTCCAATACAAGATTATGAAGATGATGAGATAGAAGAAATGCAAGATACAGATTACAAAAAATTTATAACATTAAGAAGTTATCAAAAACAAATGCATGAACTACAGAAATCCATACTGGACAGGACAGAAAATCTCTCTCATGAAAATGAAATCTTAAGGAGGAATCAAAATGAGGTGAAGAGTTTAGTAGAAAATGTACTTGAGATATTGAACAGAAACCAAAATGAAAAGAATTCAATAGAACAAATAAACACATTTGAGAGCCTTAAAAACAGACTCAGTGAGGTAGAAAAGAGAGTATCAGACTTAGAAGACAGAGCACAGGAAAACATACAGTCAAACCAAAGAAAAGAGGAGGAAAGTAGAAATAAAAATTTTGTTGGGAATATACAGGATGATATAAAATAAAAACAAAAACAAAATTCGGGTTCTAGGAGTTCCTGAAGGCATGGAGAGACAGAAGATTAGAAGGCCTTTTTAGTGAGATTCTAGCAAAAAGCTTCCCAGGTTTGGAGAAGGAAAGAGACATCCAAGTACAGGAAGCACATAGAACCCCCAATAAACATGACCAAAAGAGATCCTCACCAGGACACATTGTAATCAAACTCACCACAGTGAAACATTAAGAAAAGATTCTAAAATGTGTAAGAGAGAAACGTCAGATTACTCTCAGAGGCTCTCCAGTTAGACTCAGAGCAGACTTCTCATCAGGCTAGGAGGGAATGGCAAGATATAGCCCAAGTGCTAGGAGAAAAAACTGCCAGCCCAGAATATTATATCCTGCAAAGCTCTCATTTGTGAATGAAGATGAAATAAAGACCTTTCATAGCAAACAGAATCTACAAAGAGATCAAGAAACTCGACAACAACCAACCAGACAACCCACTTAAGAGATGGACCAAGGACCTCAATACACATTTCTCAAAAGAGGAAATCCAAATGGCCAACAGACACATGAAAAAATGTTCAGGATCACTAGCAATCAAGGAAATGCAACTCAAAATCACACTGAGGTTTCACCTCACCCTGGTTAGAATGGCTTACATACAGAAATCTGCCAACAACACATGAGGCGAGGATGTGGGGAAAAAGGGACACTAACCTAATGTTGGTGGGAAAGCAAACTGGTAAAGCCACTATGGAAGTCAGTTTGGAGATTCCTCAGAAACCTGAATATAACCCTAGCATACAACCCAGCCATCCCTCTCCTTGGAATTTACCCAAAGGAATTTAAATTGGCAAACAAAAAAGCAGTCTGCACCCTAATGTTTATTGCAGCTCAATTCACATTAGCTAAGACCTAGAATCAACCTAAATGCCCACCAATGGAAGACTGGATAAAGAAATTATGGGAGCTGTACTCTATAGAATACTATGCAGCAGTAAAAAAAAAAAATGAGATCTGGTCATTTGCAACATAATGAAGGAATCTGGAAAACATCATGCTGAGTGACATAAGCCAGTCCCAAAGGGACAAATATCATATGTTCTCCCTAATCGGTGACAACTAACTGAGCACCTAAAAGGAAACCCGTTGAAGTGAAATGGACACTATGAGAAACAATGACTTGATCAGCCGTTGTCCTGACTGTCGAGGAACAACTTACTATTATTCCTTTTAGTGGTTTTTTTTGTTGTTGTTCTATTTAATACCATTGGTGAACACTTTAACACACAATTATTCTTAGATGCTTAAATTTGACTGAAGAGTGATCCCTGTTAAATATAAGAGTGGGAACAAGAGATGGAAGAGATGTACAGTTTGGGACATGCTCATTCGGACTTACCCCTAATGGTAGAGTTAGAAACGTGCCAGGGGATTCCAATTCAATCCCATCAAGGTGCCATGTACCAGTGCTGTCTCACTAGTCAAAGTGATTGGTTTCAGTTCACAATTGATCATAATGATAGGATTAAGTGTCAAAGGGATCACATAAACAAGACTAGTGTCTGCTAATACTAACTGATGGAATTCTAAAGAGGAGAACAATCCTCCAACATGGGAAGCGGGATACACAGCAGACTCATAGAATGGCAGATGTCCTAAACAGCACTCTGGCTTCAGAATCAGCCCTTAAGGCATTCGGATCTGGCCATAAAGTGGGTGAGGGTATTTCAGGCATAGAAAGCCAAGACACTGTGGCAAAACAAACAAACAAACAAACAAAAAAAAACCAACAACTAAATGAAAGATCTCTGTGAGTGAGATCTCAGTGGAAAGAAAAGGCCATCAAAGAAGGAGATACCGTTCTCTGAAAGGAGGAGAGAACTTACACTTTGATTATGGCCTTGTCTCAGTAAGATTGGGTGCAGAATCTCAGTCCCAAGCACTTGGGCCATCCTCCACTGCCCTCCCTGTCCACAGCAGAGAGCTGGACTGGAAGAGGAGCTGCTGGGACTAGAACCTGGCACTGATATGGGATGCTGGTGCTGCAGGCAGAGGATTAACCAAGTCAACCATAGGGCTGGCCCTGAGATTCTTAATCTTATTCATACATCACAATCACTTGTGGAGAATTTTTTTTTTTTTAACATTTATTTATTTATTTGAAAATGTTGTGTTATAGAGAGGCAGAGGCAGAGAAAGAGAGAGGTCTTCCATCTGCTGGTTCACTCTCCAAATGGCCACAATGGCTGGAGCTTTCCCATCCGAAGCCAGGGGCCAGGAGCATCTTCTGGATCTCTTACGTGGTTGCAGGTGCCCAAGGACTTGGGCCATCTTCTACTGCTTTCCCAGGCCATAACAGAGAGCCACATCAGAAGTGGAGCAGCCAGGACTCAAACCAGTGCCCATATGGGATGCCGGCACTGCAGGCAGCGGCTTTAACCCACTGTGCCATAGCACTGGCCCCTGAGAGGTGTTTTTATTTTATTTTAATGTATTTTATTTTTTTGACAGGTAGAGTTATAGACAGTGAGAGAGACAGAGAAAGGTCTGCCTTCTGTTGGTTCACTCCCTAAATGGCTGCTACGGCCGGCGCTGCGCCCATGCGAAGCCAGGAGCTAGGTGCCTCTTCCCAGTCTCCCACATGGTTGCAGGGGCTTAAGCACTTGGGCCATCCTCCACTGCTCTCCCAGGCAGAGAGCTGGACTGGAAGAGGAGCAACCAGGACTAGAACCCAGTGCCCATATGGGATGCCGGCACCACAGGCAAAGAATTAACCACGTGAGCCACAGTGCCTGCCCTCCTGAGAGTTTTTAAAGTATATCTGTATGGGTCCTTGCTCTCAAAATCCTGATTTGTTGTATTTGGAGTAACAATGAGCCACCTGAATGATTCTAAAATACTGCTAAGCCTTTTCTTACCTATAAATAATTATTTTTTTAAAGATTATTTTATTTTATTTGAAAGGCAGAGTTACAGAAAGAGGTAGAGACAGAGAGAGAGGTCTTCCATCCTCTGGTTCACTCCCCAGATGGCCGCAATGGCTGGAGTTGTGCTGATCCAAAGCCAGGAGCCAGGAGCTTCTTCCAAGTCTCCCACGTGGGTGCAGGTCCTTGGGCCATCTTCTACTGCTTTCCCAGGCCATAGCAGAGAGCTGGATTGGAAGAAGAGCAGCCGGGACTAGAACCAGTGCCCTTGTGGGATGCTGGCACTTCCTGCCAGGGCTTTAACTTGCTGCACCACAGTGTTGGCCTCAATAATGATATTTTTTAATAGCATGTGATGTTTTCAGTTTCTAACCTAGTCACATTTTCAACCACATAAACATTGGAGTTTATGTGCCAAGTGCTATATATATTTTTCATATCATTTTTAGTAGAATAATGATCTGAATATAGTACATTCCTTTTTAAAAAAAACTTTGCTTTTTTTTAAAGATTTATTTATTTTATTTGAAAGAGTTACAGAGAAGGAAGGAGAGGTAGAGAGGGAAAGAGGTCTTTCTTTCATCCATTGGTTCACTCCCCAGTTGGCCGCAACAGCCAGAGTTGTGCCGATCTGTGGTCAGGAGCCAGGAGTTTATTCCAGGTCTCCCATGCAGGTGCAGGGACCCAAGGGCTTGGGCCATCTTCTACTGCTTTCCCAGGCTGTAGCAGAGAGCTGGATCGGAAGTATAGTGAACAGGTGCCCATATGGGATGCTGGCATTGCAGGCGGTGGCATAACCTGCTATACCCCAGTGCCAGTCTCGTATACTACTTTCTTAAGAATTTGGTTTACTTCAATTGAAGTGTGAAGGTTACTTTACATATTATTATCTGTTAGTCAAGGATGTATAATAGTACCCAAATAACATAAAAGTCTGACTTAATTTTATTTTAAATAGCTGGATCTTAAACATTACATCCCACTAGATCTTAGTATAGTTTCGATTTACAAGATACTAAATTATACTTTAAATTATTGACTAAGTTAAAACGTATATTAATTTTTATATGTACTCTTTTACATTTGCTTTTTAGACTTTGAGAGGAGCAAGTGCTTCTTAGAATTTTATAGAAAGTTTTGAAGTTTGGAAGAAAAGTTTTTGGCGGCTATTTAATAGCTTCATAGCTTGTCAGATATATATGTATAAAGTATACTTTATTTTTAAGGGAGCTCTTGTGAGTGCCTTGGCTGATGACACCTTACATTTGTGGAATTTGCGTCAAAAGAGGCCTGCTATACTACATTCCCTTAAATTTTGCAGAGAAAGGTAAGGACTCTCTGTATCCATTGTATACAACATATTTGCCACTCTGTTCTGTCTTCTTTGAATTTTATTCTTTGTGTGTGTGTGTGTGTGTGTGTCTTTGTGTGTCTGTGTGTATGTATGTATGTGTGTGTGTGTTAGAAAGAGAGAGAGGTGGACTTTATGCATAATTAAAAAGTAATTTGAAAACTTCGTAGGAGATATAGTAAAAGCAAGATTTGTTCCTTTCTAAACCCATCTTTCCCTCCAGAGGCAGCCACCAAAACATTGTTTTCTTCTAAAAATATAGTTTATGTAAGCAAAAAATTTCTATGTTACTCATTCCCACCTTTTTTTGATTAAAGGGATGCCACTTAATTTTCCTAAAACTTGTTTTCATTTAACAACACTTGATAGGTTATCTCATATCAGTATATTTAAATCATCCTTAATCATTTTAATAACTATATAGCATTTCATTGTGTGGATGTGCCATAATATATTCAGTCAGCTTCTTCAATGGACATTTATATGATTTCCAGTCTTGTTGATTTTGCTTTCTTGTGACATTTTACCTATGTCTTTTTCCATATAATTGAGGGGTCTTCAAAACATTCATGAACAATTCAAATTCTGAAAAATCTATGCTTGAGTTTCAAAAATGTTTTCATCAAATTGAGCTTATATTTTAATTCCATTTTCCATGAACTTTTTGAATTACTCTCATACGTTTGTGTCTGCAAGATGAATTTGGAGAACAGTTGGGTCAAATAAATCTCTTCTATTATAGCTTACAAATTTTTGTCTTTGATTAGAAATGCCTTTTTCACCCCGATTTTTTTTTAAAGATTTATTTATTTGAAAGGCAGAGTTACGGAGAGGGAGAGACAGAAAGATTTTATATCTGCTGGTTCACTCTCTAAATGACTGCAAATAGCCAAGACTAAGCCAGGCTGAAGCCAGGAACTCCATTCATGTCTTCCATGTGGGCACAGGAGCCCAAGGATTTGGGCCATCCACTGCTTCTTTCCCAGACATGTTAGCAGGGAGCTGGGTTGGATGTGAAGCCGCTGGGACTTGAACTGGTATCCATATGGGATGCCAGTGTCACATGGGGCCGTTGAACCCACTGTGCCACAATACCGGCCCCTAATCCTGTTTTGTGTTTCAGCAGGAAGCTGTAGTCAGGGAAGTGAGGTAGTATACCCAGTTACTTTGATTTGGAACATGAAGGTACTCTAATGTGGGACATGGGTATCTTAAATGGCATCTTAACCACTAGGTTAAATGCCTGTCCAATACTATGTCTTATTGTGGCTTCCCAGTTTGTTTCTTTTTATCACTAAATTCCCATTGTATACCTATACTGTGGTTGGTTTGTCTATTCATTTGTTGAATAAAGCTGCCAAAAATATTTCATGTGCAACATTCTGTTGAAGTACATCTTTAACATAATTGGATACATGGGAGTGCGAGTGCTTTATCTTACAGTAAGACCATGTTTTGGTTTCTAAGAAGCTGACAAACTGTCTCCTTAACACTATTCTAGTGTGCCTTCCCATCAGTGAGAGATCCTGTTGTTCTACATCCTTACTAACATTTGGTGTTGTCAGTTTGTTGGATGTTAGCCATTTTGATAGATGCTTATTGTTATCTTTTTTATAAATTTATAGTTCCATAATGCAAATGAGGGCAATGTTGGCTGTCTTCTCCTGTGCTTATCTGTCCTAGAGATATTTACTTTAAAGAGTTTTACAGATCTTTTGTACCCTTTTTTATATTTCAAAAATTTGTTTGTGCTCACTTTTAAATTGCCTGTTTTATTGATAGGCTGTAAGAATTCTTTATATTTTTCGGATACAGTTTATCAGTTACGTATTTTGCAAATTTTTCCTAATCTGTGATTTTTCATTCTCTTAACAGTGTCATTTGGAGAGCAGAGTTTTTAATTTTAATAAGTTACCCATCTGAACTTTGCTTTCATGGATAATGCTATGATGTTATCTAACATATCCATGGAGTGGGTGTTTGACATGGTGGTTAACAAGCCACTTGGGATACCCACATCCCATATTCAAATGCTTAGCTTCTAGTCTCTGCTGTGTTTCCAGTTCTAGCTTCCTGCTGAAGCACAACTTTGGAGGCAACAGTGATGGTTCAAGTAAATTAGATCCCTATCACCTATGTGGGAGACTGAGATTGAGTTCTAGGCTCCTGTCTTCAGCCTGGCCCAGTCCTGGCTGTTGCAGTCATTTGGGGAGGGAACAAACACTTGGGAGAGCTCATTCTTTCTTCCTCTCTCTTTCTCTCTCTGCTTTTCTAATAACTAATAAATAGATTTTTAAAAATTGAAAAAAATGCTGGTGCCACGGCTCACTAGGCTAATCCTCCACCTGTGGCGCCGGCACTCTGGTTTCTAGTCCTGGTTGTGGCTCCCCTTCGGTCCCAGTTACTCCTCTTCCAGTCTAGCTCTCTGCTGTGGCCTGGGAAGGCAGTGGAGGATGGCCCAAGTGCTTGGCCCTGCACCTGCATGGGAGACCAGGAGGAAGTGCCTGGCTCCTGGCTTCGGATCGGTGCAGCACACTGGCCGTAGCGGCCATTGGGGGTGAACCAACAGAAGGAAGACCTTTCTGACTGTCTCTCTCACTAACTCTGCCTGTCAAAAAAAAAAATTGAAAAAGAATTCGACAGTAAACTCAGAGTCACCACGTAGATTTTCTACTGTATTGTGTTGTACAAGTTTTATAGTTTGGCACTTTATGTTTAGACCTATGATCTATGCTGATTTAATTTTTATGGAAAATCTAGTTTCTGTATCTAGATTCATGGTTTTTGTTGTTGTTTAAGAATTCTAGTTGGGCCAGCACAGCTTGTGGAAAAAAAGATCTGTTCTCCATTGAATGACGTTTGATCCTTTGTCAAAGATCAGTTCATTGTATTTGTGGTGTGTTTCTGGATTCTCTTTTGCTCCATTGGTCTTATTTGTCTGTTTTTGTTTTAATACATACTTTGCTGATTACTGTAACTTTATTGTAAATCTTGAATTTAGGTAGTATTGATCCTCCAGGTTTGGTCTTCATGGTTCAGCTTTGTGTTGGCTATTCAGAGTCTCTTGCCTTTTCAAATAAACTTTGAAATCAGTTTGTTGATCCACAAAATAGCATGCTAGGATTTTGATTGGCCTTTTGAAAGGAAGCTATCTAGTTCATTGATTTAACACATACCTTTTTTTGTTGTTTCTTAACATTTTAATATCTCTGAATTTAAGATATTTCTTCTAGTGAATGGTGTCATAATTAGAAATGTTTTCTGATTTTATTAATACTGAATAAGGATTATGAGATGTCCTAAAATCAAAAGTATATTAGATTTGGGGAAATAGGATATTTGGTGATTTTGAAATTATATAAAAGTCAGTTTGTTATTATTTTGAAAACTTGGTAATGACTTTCTTTTTATAAATTTGACATTAGTTTCCTTCAGCACTTTGAAGTTATTACTCCAGTCTTTTCTGCCTTCTATGGTTTCCCTGAGAAATTGATAGTTACTTAAATTTTTAATCCCCTCTTTGAAGTATATTCTATTTGTCTTGGGTTTTCAGCATTTTCACTGTGATGCACCTTGCCATTAATTTTTTTTCATATTCATCTTACTTGAGATTTGCTGAGCTCGCTGGCGCCGCGGCTCACCAGGCTAATCCTCCGCCTGCAGCTTCGGTACTCCGGGTTCTAGTCTCAGTTGGGGCACCCTTTCTGTCCCGGTTGCCCCTCTTCCAGTCCAGCTCTCTGCTGTGGCCTGGGAAGGCAGTGGAGGATGGCCCAAGTGCTTGGGCCCTGCACCCACATGGGAGACCAGGAGGAAGCACCTGACTCCTGGCTTTGGATCGGCACAGCTTGCCAGCTATAGCGGCCATTTGTGGGGTGAACCAAAGAAAGGAAGACCTTTCTCTCTGTCTCTCTCTCACTAACTCTGCCTGTAAAAAAAAAAAAAAAAAAAAAAAAAAAAAACAAAGAGATTTGCTGAGCTTCTTGAATCTGTTGGTTTATGTTTTCCATAAAGTTTCAGAAATTTTCAGCTGATAGTTATTCAGATGTTGTCCTCCATTCATGCCTCTTTCTGGAATATGTCTTACCCTGGTGTTAAACCTTTTTCTATTTTCCTATTGGAAAATTCTATTTGTTCCTTTTTCTGCTTCTTTATTTTTTAACCTTTTTGAATTTTGTGTTTTTCAGTGGCAGAATTTCTATTTCATTTCTTTATGCTTCTGTTTTCCTGCCAACATTTCCTGTTTTGTCATTAGCAAGTTTTGTCACTAACAAGTTTTCTGTAAATTATTAGCCATAGTTATAATAGCATGTAGATCATCTCTAGTTCAGTCTTAGTTGATTGTCTCTGCTCTTATAATTAGGTCACATTCCCCTATTCTGTGTCTACTAATGTTGGATTATATCCTGGACATCATGAATTGTCTTTGTTGTATTCTTTTGAAGAGTATCGATTTTTATTTTCTTCTGTGCCTGTATGTGTTTTTAAAACTGAATTTAGGTTACTTGGTTTTAACTCCAACTGTGAGCTTTGATGTTTGAGAAACAGTTCAGATCTCAGTATTTTTTCATTACTGGGCCATCTGAGATTCTGCCCTCCGTGTGCATGTTTTAGACATAGATGTGAGTGGGGTTTGTACACAGGATTTGGAGCTCCCTTTTTAGTTCTTTCCTTTCTGCTGTTCCTCTCATTTTCCAATGGTTACTGTTGCTCCAATCTCTGATCTCTGGATCAGTGGGTTTTCTCATGGAGATTTTGCTGCCACTGTGTACAAACTGGGACCTATCTTTATACTAGAATCCCTGAAAATATTCTCAGTGCCAATTCCTTTTTCTAAGAGATACTCCCCTCTAGAATTTGCTAATATTTCATTGTTCTTCAATGTCTTCAAGTAGTTGTTTCTGGTATTTTGCCAGTTTATAGTTATTATCTGAGAGTAGATTGGTCTGACAGGAGCTTTCTTGTAATGGGTCTTAAAG